AAATGAGGCAGCCACTGACAAAGCGCTTGCAACTGTTGGTTTCTTTGGGTGTTTCTAAGGGCCAATGATACAACACAGGGAGAAGGACACGTTGACACATCAGCAAACAGGGTCATGGACTCTGCGAGCCTCAAAGGTACCAAAGGCCTGCATGCTTGCCGACCTGCTTGACTAAAGGCAGTCCTGGGCCTTGTTGTGGCCCAGGCTGGGGCAATGGCAAAGAATGTTTACATGCACATCATTTGTCTTCCATGTGAGCCACAGGTTGTCACAGGGCTACACACACTGTGCGTTGGTAGCTTTGGCGTGCAAAAGCCATTCTTCCAATAAATCTAAGGCACATGGCAATTCACACGGCACTCGAGCTAGGTCAAGTAAGCCACTGGAAAGAACCGTGGGGAGGGAGACATACAGCGTGCCACTTTGCGTCTTGCCTAGCTGACATTCTCAAAACAAAAGAAACATTACCTTTGTTCCTCAGTCGGGCCCCAAAACATCAACATGTCAGCGGTCCAGGCAAGAGCAGAGTGAGAGCACAGTATCAAAACCTTCCGTTTCTCTCACTGGGGCCGGGGCCAAAGGGCAGCAAGTGAAAGAGGTGCGAGGATGAGTCATTGCAGCTCGCGGCAAACCTTTCCTGAACCTGAGTCGAGGCGATCGGTTGATTGGGATTGATTTGACAGGTATTTACCCACCGCAGTACCGTTTGACTAGGGGACCAAACGATACAATTCAGTTACATCAAGAACGACTCAGATTTTCACGGGGAAAGCTGCACGTTCCACTTTGGCGGCCCAAATGGCAAAGCCCCAAGCGCAAAATTGGGTACCTGTGTATTTTACAGCAACAGCAAGCACGCTGACCACAAGAACATGCAGTAGAACAAACACGGCGGTAAACCCAACGGTAGCAAGAACAAACGATACCGACAAACCTAATCATAGCAAACAAAACATAGCAAGAAGAAACATACGGAAAAAAAGGAAGAAACAAAACATAAGCAAAAACCGACAAAACACACTCCGAGGAATAAAAGGAACAACACAATTCCTCAAAAGAGAGCACTAAGCGCGTCCAAGCCGCACCCTGGAGGCCCCCCGTCACGAAGACGGCTGGGAGGCGCCGTAAAGCCGCGCCAAGGTTAGTGACCTGATAGGGCTCTCAGAGTTTTTGCACGGCAAGGTGGTGCATGTATGTATGCACAGTCCATGTGACATGAAGGGTTCCGGGCAAGTCCACGTGCCATGAGAGTGTTGCCCTACAGGTGGTCCTTGCTAGTTTGGCAGTTTGTAGTCACGTGTTGGACGTGTCGTACAGTAACTCAGTATTGTAGGCTTGGACGCTCGAACAGGTCGGAGGAACTTAGGCGAAATCGCCACACCTCAAACTGAAAAACACCTTGGCGTCAATGCGGCTCGGTTGGACTCAGCGTGATGGGTTAAGGGGTACTGTAGTTCAGCAAGGGATGCGGCTGGGAATGCTGCACTACTGCCGGACAAGTCTCATCGCTTCAAGGTGCCTGGACCACTCCCTGAACCTATGATATGCATGACATATACATACATAATGCGTACAGAAGCAAATCTGATATCCATTCTGAGCAACATATGAAAGACCTGCGCTCCTGCTCGCGTTCCCCTAGATACAATCAATCATCTTGAAATTTGGTGCCTGGGCGATTGGGATCTTTTGTGAGTCATGCTCAAGGTGGCCGGCCGACCCACCATGAATAGACTCCAATGGAATTTCCAGCCGGGCTCGGCAGTTTCAGAGCTGGGACAAGGTCGTTAGTTTCCTGGCGATGGTGGCTACCCGGACGAGACGACTGTAACCAAACAGGCACTTCAGCAATTCATTGCAAAATTATTGACGGCAACGGCTTTGAAGCCCACCGAGGAAACAAAAAACAGCTACCCACCAACCCACGAATTCGTTGCCGAACCAAGCCAGCAAATATGGTCCAAGACTGCTCTGAATTCCAGCTCCTGCTCGCCGTGATGTGTGCTGCATAGGACAATACGCCCACTGCTTACAACAAGTTTCAATCAGGCTAAAGGCGTCGATTTAATCTGTTCAAACTGCGCACCGAAGTGCAAGTTACAGGGTCACCGGCATCTGCCTATCTCAACACCTACATGCACGTGTATAAACCATCATAAACGTATATGCAAGCAATGCTTGCTTCAAGTAGGTACAAACAACACACACACACACATGACGGGTGCAACAACCAAACACAAGGGTTCTCCGCACTGAGGTTCCAGCGAGCGCCTGGCAAGGCTCAAACGGCAAATCCATGGTTCGATGCACGGCAGTAATTACAACTCGGGGAAGCCAAAACAATTGTCCATGGTCTGCCTCTGGGTTTTTGGTCTTCTAAAGGTTGGGGCAGTCCTGGTCAACAATCAGTGTCCGGGCATGTCCTATCTCAAAGCCCCTTTGACAAAACAAACAAGAAGGAAACTTGAGGGCTGTGCAATCGAGCCAGCAGGCAAGGACCCATATTTGAGTGTAGCAAGGTCGTGCAAAACGGCCCCGGCTGAGGATTAAAAAACGCCGTCCAGGACGAGGTATCAAGCATCTGTGGCATGCTCTCCATGGACGGCGTGCCACAACTCCAACAACAAGTACTCAGCCCCAAAGCAGCATCGCATTGTTGCGGCCACTGAGCTTTCAAGGTGTTCCCTTGTTTCTCCTTTCCGTTGCTTTCACGCTAAATACGTGCCCTGTGAGTTGATCCTCCCGAAGCCACCCTACTATTTTTTCAGCCTCCTGCATTTGACCTTCGAACGCCGAAAAACGTTGTGACAAGTATGCGCCCAAGCCATACTGTCGCCGAACCAGCATTTCAGACCTGCATCACCCCCTGCCTCGGAGATGGGATTTTGGAAGGATGTGCCACCCACAATGCAAACGATGGGCTTGTCCGGGAGCTGCTTCCTGCCCAGCTGGCAGCTGTATTCCCTTCTTTGGAGCTCATGGAATCTAGAATGCAAAATGCGGGCCTGCAAGCGCAAGAGATCTTAAGCGGTGAAACAAACGTTGTGCACGCCAACGCAGAATGAATCAAGAACGAGAGGCAAGCTGTGGTGGAAAGATTTGGGAAGTTCAACGGCACTCAATCCCTGACGGCCGAGCGGCAAGGCAGCAACTTCCGCTGTGCTCACTGACCATCCAGGGAGGGGTCCCATTGTGCAAACCTGGCCAATAACACCTTGGCAAAAAACATGCGTTGCGGAGAGCTGTGTTCACGCAAACATTTACCCGCGCTCCAAGCATAGAAATAGCTGAAACAAATATGGCAGTGCCAGCTTCAATGGTTGTGAGCAAGCACGCGGACGAGAAGCCATGCCACTGCAGCAAGAGCCATCACTCTCAGCTGCAAGCTAGGGGAAAAGAGCCCGCCACAAGCATGCAACTGGGCCGGACAGCGCTGCCCGCTTGTTGGACCCATGGATGGGTAGTCAGCCAATCCCAGGCATCACCGAATCGCAGGCTTAGCAGCCAATGGCGAATAGCTTCCGCTGAGCCGCCGAACAAACAAAAAACACCAGCATCTTGGGGTGAGGACATTGAACCCCTGCCAGTCGCGTGGCGTTAGCCCGGAACAAGCTGCGTTCGCCGCTCTTGCTCCCCCACCCGCGCCTAAGCCGCCGCACAGCAGCTTCGCTATCCTCCACGACCTCCGTTGTCAAAGTAGTAGAAACTGCAGATGTAGTTGTTGAAGTCCCTCCTCGCGAACCACGACCAGAAGCCGGAAGTGTGAGCTCAAAAGTGGAAAAGGCCGGGGAGCCAGGCATCCCCCCCCGCCCCCAACATCTACTGTTGAAAAGAGCAGGTGTTCTTCAGTGGGTTTTACCTCACCATGGCCCATTGCTCTGTTCAGCAAACCTTGGAGAACACGTGCATTTGCTTTGCAGTGCCATGGAACTGTGTGTGTGTGTCACTCCCATGCTCTCAAAGCGAGCCATCTGCATGTGCGTCATGGAAGAGGGCGTGTTCAACACCTAAAACAAGCAAAACAAGCCCGGAAGCAACTGGCAACGTTAGTTGCTCATGTGCAAAAACAAACGCAAAACAGCCACCTCTGCAAGCAAACAGAGATCACCGCGCCAGTCAAAGCACACATCTTTGTCTGCATGGCCGCCTGGCCTTTGCCATCCGGCACAAAGAAACTTGACGAAGCACAGGTGGCTGAGGATGCATCAAATTACTAAATGATTGCCCATTGCATCATCGAATCCCGGATGTCTGACGGAATCTGGAGCGATGAGCTTTAGCACCCGCCTGAAGCCTTTAAGGAGAGATGAGCGCTGCTAGTTATAACTATTCTTCCCGTTTCTTTGCCATTCATGCTCAAAACGTTCACATACACGTTGGTGGTCGGCGGTAGTGTCCCTTCAAAGGAACGTCTTTGATGGGCAAGGTTGTGTTCGCAATATTCCGCAACAACACATATGCAAAGACCTGCAACTATGGAGCAATTATGATGTCTTGCTCTGAAGGGGGATCCTGCGATTGCAGCCCACAATAACTTCCAGCTCAACCACTGAATCTGGTCATGCTTCAACAATCAGTGCTTTTGTAGCATTCACAGGCTTTGGCGCGGAAACATGGCCTGGAAGCAAACTGCCGTACGCTCGTTGGTGGAAGCACCAGAAGTTAAATACCTATTAGACAGGCAGCTTCAATTAAGCTTTCCCTCCACTGATCCGACAAACTACTCGCTTCTGCCATGCGTGTTGATCATCTTCATTTGACATGGGTAAGCTTGCCAACTCAGAAATGACAATGACACAAAACGGGCGCCCAACGCCAGAAACCTGCGTGAATCATCAGGCGCTTCTCACTGGGAACCCCTCTGGAGTGAACGGCGAATTGGAATCCCCAGCTGCCAAGTGATTGTGAGGAATCCACTTGGAAGGAAAAGGAAAACAGTTCCACTGAACAACTGGGGTTTCCAGAGAGGCGCCCTATTGGACTGTGTGAAACATTGCCGGTCACAAGGAGATGTGCGTGTCCTGCCAGGGCATGGCACTGGAGTAAAAGATTGCATTTTAGCCACGACAGCGGATAGTTAAGCGTGACTCTTTGTAATTGGAGGGGTTGCACCAAGTAAATCAACCCAAAACGGACGAGCTGTGCGAATTCTTAAGTTGACTCACGTCAAGCCACCTGTAACACGGAAGAAAACACTATCGCACTTCCTACTGGAAGCCAGTCAGCATTCCAGCATGACTTGGAGGGCGAGGCCTAAAGTACGTGTCCAAGCTGTCCAACCATCGTGCGATCGCCAGGGCCAAACGAGGAAGTGAACAAGCCTGGACCAGAAGTCAACGGAATGCCTGGCTCGTTTGCCTTTCGCCGTCATGTACAATTCACGGATTGCTACACCCACTTTGACAATGCGTTGAAGTTGCCTTCGCACAACCTCATGAAGATGACACCAATGGTCCGTTATCCACGTTTCTCACATTGGAAGTGAGAAGGCTACGTGTCGGATGCATTAAGACGTCCTGATGCCCGAGGCACAAATGACAACCCCCTTTGTGCAGCCACAAACACGTCAATAGTCCTGCTGAAAACCTACATTCTGCCGAGTCCTTGGGTGACGAGAAGCCATCCGGCATCGCCTCTTCCTCCTAGGGATTGTGAGCAGGCCAGGGCTAGACCAGCCAAACGCACAACTGGGTCCATGGAACACCTTCATCGTCAATTGGTGTGGCTTTCAAACATTCAGCCTTCCAGCTGGTCACAAAAATCGACGCAAACTGGCGATCCACTCTTCTGATGGCCCCTACGCCAACCATCGGGCGGTCTTCGACTAGGGCCACCTTGGGGGTCAAACCCGCTTGATCAGCGCTTGACATGCACCCGAGCGCCATGCTGGAACATCGAAAGCACCGATCCACGTCAGGAGGCAAAACGTTGTGTTCAAAGAAAGCGTTTAGTTCCCCCAAATAGGCTAATTAACCAGCCACAAACCACAAAATTGTAGTAATTCAAATGCAAACATGTTCACGTTGTTTCATACATGCAATATTCAGGAATGCCATCTTCTGCGCTCGCAAATCCCTGGACTGACCCGCTCCTTGAGCGCCTCGTGGGCATCCGGCAACGGCAACGCTGCCTGAGCTCTGCAGATGTCGGACCGAGATTGCTGGGACAAAGGTGAAGAAGCCCTACCACAGGAGCTAGGATCTCAACTCCCCCTTGCCACTGCCCCATTGAATAAAGTCTTGAACAGGCCTTCCCTTGCCCCCCTCCTGTCTTTCAAACATTTGGATCATTTGGGCTTGTCTCCAACCCAAACAAGTACATTCTCTTGACACCAAACCCGAGCCGCGCGCTAAATGGCCTGGACAAAAAGACAAATTGCGGCTTCCTGGCCTCGAGGTCTTCCTCCAAGCTTTGAAAAGACTCCAGGTTTGGAATCTCTGGCACGTCGCCCCGGACCTGCCGCTTGGTGCCAGCTGGAAAGCGAGTGCCCTTGGCTCAAAGCTTTGCATTCAAACAGCTCAAGGCGCAACGGTGCGCGGCTCACTGGCCTCCATTGCAGGCTCCTCCTCTGCCGCCATGCCATCCCCGTGCACGATCACGGTGCACTCTTCACCCAGCCCTAAGGTCCTGGAACACGGCGAACGCCAAGCGCTCAAATGCGTTCGTTTATTTGGCTGCGCTGGAACGTGCTTAACTCAACAGAGAAGCACAGAGGCAATAACCTTCATCGGCAAGATACACGAACTGCCCCACAAGCGACTGCCATTTTCAAGGAAGTAGGAAGTGCGATAAACCTTCCGAACCCCTGACACTGTGTCGGCAATTTGGCGCATGGCTTGCCCCATGCCTCTCTGCCTCGCGCGCCCGAGAGACCCGAGAGGCGCGTCCTCACCCGCCGGTGCAGCAGGGCGAAGACCATGCGGGGCCGGCGGATGGCGTCGCGCAGGGCGCTGCGCACCGCCACGCCCGGAGGCCGCGCCTCAGCGGCTTCAAGGTGTGGCTCGCCGTGGCAAACCGCCAAAACCGCCGCAAAACCGCCGCGAATCTGTGAAAATATAAAAGTAAACGTGGGGGTCGGGGGTCGTTCAGAGAATGATGGGGTTGTCTGTCTTTACTGCCCGGGACAAACTGTCACATGAATTCCAAGATGTGCCCATGAATCGATCTATGTATCTACAGTATCTACAGTATCTACAGTATCTGTCTGTCTGTCTGTCTGTCTGTCTGTCTGTCTGTCTGTCTGTCTGTCTGTCTGTCTGTCTGTCTGTCTGTCTGTCTGTCTGTCTGTCTGTCTGCTCCATCCGTCCACGCATTCATTCAACTATATATATATATATATATATCTATCTGTATGGATGCATTCATGTATGTGAACAAGTATGTATGCAAGTAAGTATGTATGCATGCATGTAATTATACTTATACTCGTGCACAAAATGTGTAAACCCCTACATCCGCAAATGCAAACGACAACAAAACGCGCTTCATCTTGCAGCTTCTTTGTCATGCTTTGTCCGCAATACGTTGCTCACGCCCGCGTCTTCAACATTCAGCTTTGTTTACGTTCGAATGCAACATTTACGCTTGCAAGGAGATGGTGCGCTGCGGGCATGTCGCCATATGCGCGCTCGGAGGGCTGGAGCATAGACACTGGCAAAAGTGCTAGACATGATGCTGTTATTGCGAGTGATCTAAGGCGTTGCTGGTCCAAAGGCAAAGCTCTTCTTGGCCAACTGGTACCACTTGACTCTTTGATCAATCAAGCAATTTATCACTCATGTTACAGTCTTGATGTTACAGTCGCGTGCTCCGCAGCACGCAGAAGCAAGGGCAACGCCGCTCAGATGGCAGCTGGATGCCTCGCTTGACCAGGCCTTGCTTTTCTGCTTGCCCACGCCGGGATCTTCGCCGGCCTGCCGGGCAATGCGTCCAAAGCCCCTCCTTCATCGTCATCCCGGGCAAAGGTCCCATGACCGAAGAGGTCAAACGAGGCTCAACAAATCCATACAAATCCCGCAGACCACGAGCACCATCAGCAGCCCTGGGTGATACAGCTACATATGTGCAACTCTGGGACTATGGGATTGGCCAAAACCTGTGGTGCGGACTGCGAACGCGTTCTCTATCTAGAGTCCCGATACGGCCATGTGAGGATTGATGGGTTGTCAAGACCTACCGTGGCTCAACAATCGACAACCGACAGCTATGCACGCCTCAGTGCCGTCGTGGTTGAAGCCAGCATGTCCCAGCTTGCGGTTGCTCGGGTGGCCCCAAATGTAGAGCCGGTGGTCCACGGTGACCCTGAGCGCAACAAGTGCCCGTGTAGAAACCGAAAGAGCTGAGCAGGGCCAAATGGACTAGCGCAGTGCAGGACAGGAATCATCAGAGACCCTTGCCACTGGTGCAATCAGGCCTGTCAAGCAGGATTTGGAGAGTTTGGCTCTCGTCCGTTGGGCCAGTGTTGCTGACAAGTCAGCTGGCTTGTCTGCACAAGTTCATCCAAGCTGCATCGCGGAGTGCCATTTTCCGGCGAAGACTTTGGCGCCCCCTCAGTCAAGCTCAAACTGTCCAAGGCGAGTCTGCCAAGCCAACGGTTCACAAGGAAACTCGTTTCAGTCCTAAGCTCTGCCCATCCTACCCCTGTTAAGCCCGCCGGCGTCAAGAAACGGCAGAGTTGAGTGAGTCACGCTTTCCTCGCGCCATTCAAGCATGTGATGGGTTGCGTTAAGACGGCAGTCCCAAAGCTTGAGGATTGACAGGATCAACAAAAACACAAGCAAACACATCCATTGAAGTCGGTTATCCTCATTGACTCAAACAATAACGTCTGTCACATTAGGCACGAGAGAAAGGAGTAAGCAAGCACGGAGGAGGAGAACCGAGGAAAGAAGGAAGCAAGGAAGCAAGGAAGGAAGAAAGGCAGCAAGGAGGGAAAGAAGGAGGGAAGAAGGAAGGAGTGAAGGAAGGGAGGAAGGAGGGCGGAAGCAAGGAAGGCGAAGGGAGGACGCTGCCCCTGGGCTGGTCAATCAAATGAGTCAATGGCGGGCAAGCTGCGGTCGGCCCTGCCGTAGTTTTGACATCGTTCAGGTATCATGAAGAGTATTGCGCCTTGCAGCCCACGCTGCTGTCAGGTAAAACTGTAATGGGCTTTGCTCTTCAACTGCGGGCGCGACCCATACACAATCCGTCAATCCGTTTGCCACGTTTGCACAGCACGCTTGTTCCAATTGGCACGCACGCTTGAAAACATGTCGCGCATGAAGGTAACTGCTTCCAGGAGTTTTGCGAGCCGTATCCTTAGTTTTGTGTGTTTCCACAAGTTCTTGCAACACCGAATGCCATATTCACAATCGGTGGGCCAAATAAGGAATCCTGAGACGAGGCGCTTTCATTGAAGGGCGCGTTCTCGGAAGACACTGCCTGCGGGCTCAGCTCAACAGCACTGATAAAGGCTAGTCAGCCAACACACAAAAGTGTCGACTGCTGGGGGAAGGCGTTGTCAAGGGAGCGGCTCCTCATCTTCTAAGCCCTTAATGAGACCGTGCCAGCAGGACACCGAAATAATCTGAAGAGGGTCGAGAAAAGGTTTGCACAAAGGGATGTCTCCAGTAAGGTCCCTCATAACTTCTTTCTCGACAGTTGTATTCTAAGCTTGTTCTCTCAAATCGAATTGTTGCTTTGCGCGAAAGACTTTTCTGGTAGGTCGGGTTTGTGAATGATAAACAACACATAGGGTTGTTTACTCAAAAGTTGCTTTCTGAACACTTTGTTTTTGCAAATCAAAGGGGTCCCCCTTTCAAAATTGTGCCCAATAGTTTCTAAACCCCGCAAATTGAAACAGTTGTGGCCAAAACCCAGGGAACCTAATAATAACCTACCCCCCCCCCCGCCCCGAGGTTGTTTGTATTCGGGGGGAGGGGGGACGGTTTATGATTACGTAGGGGAAGGATTATGGATTATGATTATGCTGATTCCCTGAACATTGCATGTAGAGGGAACAAAAAGAACACCTTCCACAAAACAGAAGAAACCCTCAGTCCCCTTCATGCAGCTTTCCCACAAACAAACGAAACACGGAAGTTCCAGAGCTGAGCCAAGCCGATTGCACTTCCGGGATGGCAGGGAATCAGCTTGTCCCTACCTCGATGGGCACCAGTCGGGGCTGCTGCACCGTGCATCCAGTGATGTGGCCGGAGCCGACGGCTTCTGGCACCCCGCACCTCCAAGCGGACATGTCGGGAGTCAAGTTGCACTTGGGACTTTGCGGGTGTGCGATAAGAATATGCGATCTGAAAGGCTTCCCAGAAAATATCTGCCCAAAATAGGAAGCTAGGTATTGACAACAACAAAGTGACTCGTGTTGTTTTTTTGTCAGCACAAACCTGCTTAGGCCAAAACAAAGCTGGAAAAAAACACAGCAGACATTCCGCAAACCGGGGCTTGATGATGTTTACATCCCATTACTCAGAAAACGAGAACACGTACAGGTTGAGCGCGATGTTTGGGTCAGGAAGAGGGCTGCGAGCCGTCACGCAGCCGCATGCATCTCAGCCATGTGCGGAAAGACGATACGTCGTGAGAATGTTCTCCTCCAGAGCAACTTGATGCGCGCTAGAACCTGCTCGCTTCCACCCCTTCACCAATTCCCGATGCAGCATCTCTTGCGCCGAAATCGCTGGCGCATCATGCTGCCAAAGCGCACTTCGCCAAAAACCAAACAAGGGCTGCGGATCCGCATGTCCGACTTTGACCCACCCACACACCGAACCCTAGGAGCCCAAGACCTTATTATTTGAGGCCTTTGGGGCTCAAAAGCCCATGTTTAGGGTCTTGGGTTCCAGGGGAAGAACCCGTTTTTCTGGGAAGGCCCAGCCAAGCGGCTGCCCGGCCAAGTTCTCGCCGAAGGCAAAGAGGCGACCCTCTTCATCCAGCAGCAGCGAGTGCCGCTCGCCGCAGGCGATGTCAATGACCTCCTGGAACAAAAACTCACCCTCGGGGTTCCCGTGAAATATATACCCTTCACATACCCATGTACCAGCCGGAAAAGTAGGTTTAGATACAGTTCTCAACCCAGCAACCTTGCGAACATCTATGTATCGTAGCCTTCCTGCCATGTGCAAGGACCGAAGCAACAAAATAAGAAGGTGCAAAGGTGAAAGGACAGTGCCTCCTCTTGCATGCATAGGGTGAACATGGGATGTTTTAAAATTCTGGGCTGACGATGTGCCGGGCCGTTTTGTACAAGTTGCCAGGTGGTTTGATTCAGCAACAATTTCATAGAGTGATTTCGCGATTGTTGTGCAAATGGCAGCACCAAACATGTCTCACATGGCCCAGTGCGCCTTAGGCCTGTCTTTGTCGGACTTCTCCTGGCCAAAAAAAACGACAAACACTGAAAAAGCAGTAGCAGCCCAAGATGCAGCAACCCGTGATTGATTCTTGAGGAAAGGAAGCAAAGAAGGTGAACCTTGAAAATTCTAGAGGGAACCCCCGCTTCCCCCGCTTTCCGATACCCTGGCCGTGCCTGGCCCAGCGGAAGCGTCACTTTGCCAGGGGCTGGCGCGTGGCGGAAATGTTTGCCCCAAGCGCTCGCCAACTGCACCAAGTCAGGAAACGGCTAGGATTGCAATGTACTACGCCGCTTCAGTTATGTCGGCCGCTGACTCTGTCATGCTTGTGTGGGGCCAATTCCCTAGCAAAGCAGGTGCATGAACAGCTGATGGACATGTAGCGCGGCAAGAGACAACAAACATTACACAATCATGTTTGCACAATATTGCTTTCCCATTTCAGGGGCAAGAAGAGCTAGCTACGCATCGCTTTCAGGTTCCACCTTAGGACACTCGGTGTCACACGGTTCCTGCTGAAGACTTTCCAAGCCACCTTGATATCTAATATCCCAGGATTTGCTGTGACCAAAGTGGCACGGCCTGGCAGCTCGTCAGGATCCACCGAGGCGCGGTTGCTCAGGGACCAGCTGCCATCCATGACAGCCTCAGAGGGCAAAAATGTCTGACGAGGGTCGAGCACGCGGGCCCGCGACATCTATGGCTCCTCTCTCACAAATATCTTCAAGTCCTGCAGGACTTAACCCAATGATGTTGATATGGTTTGTGGTTGGCTTCATTGCGGAACAAATGTGGGAACAAATGTGGGAAGCCAACCAACCCTACATATTTGTAGCACAATCTGCACATCATCGGCACATCCATGCCTCATCGTTGCATACTGCCTTTAGACATTTTAGTGGCAGGAAGATGTCCAGTGCACACAACATCTCACATGCGGCTGGATCCAATCTGAGAAAGCCTGCCAGGTCGAATGTCTGCTGCGCACTTCATCCTCAAAAAATGGCGCAAGTACGTAAACCCCTGCAAATAATTAACGTGAACCCCATCTTTGTTTGAGGCACCTCCTCCTTCTTGGGAACATGACTCTCGGGGGCCCATGCTGAGAAGCGATGAGATCTACCTTTTCTACGCGTTTGAGAGATCTGCAGCGTCAGGTTTTCCTAGGTTTTCCCGCTCTTCAGCATCTGAGGCCTCGGCGTCTCCAAGCTCCCCATAGGTGCCATCACCCCAGGCCTTCGCTGACGAATCCCAAAGAGCTGGCCGTCTGACGAGTTTCTTCCTCTGCTTGGTGTCTTGGCTTGGAAATTGGAGGTGACGGCAAAGGAAAAAAAACAATCACCCCCTGCATCACACGAGGGTTGTCTCCCTCCACAAAGCCACTTGACCAAAAAAAATATAATATATTCTATCAGCATGGCACTCATGATGTGTGCGCCGCTGACTGTTCCTGCTGCAACCAGGGACAGTGTTCGCTGTATAAGAAGCACCTGTGATTGTTCCGGAGCAAAAAGTCGCACAGGTTGCTAAAGCAACAACCTCATGATAGCAACAGCCTCATAATACTGGCCCTGCCATGAAAAGGTTGCTATAGTCTCCAAACCAATTCCTCGGAAACCCTGCCCCGTTGCACGTGCGAGGCACATAGACATCGCCGCGAAGGTCCAGCGCCAAGCCAAAGGCGCCGCCCAGGCACAGCTTTCGCGCCGGCGCCGGCAGGCGGAAGCAGGGCGTGGGGCGCTCCACGTGGTCCTTGGACCACAAGAAGTTTAAAGGATCCTATCCTCTCTCGAGGTCTGCGAGAACCACAAACACTTAGGGGCCTTTGTGTATGCCACTGCAGGGTAGCGGTTTGGGGATGATTAGTGGAAACGACAGTCGCCGTTGAGAAGTTCTCTTGGCCAGCTCAACGCCGCATGATGCTACTCAAGAACTCAACACAGACCAACCTGCAAGATGATCGGGCTGATGCGCCAGCTCAACATGAACAAACAATACTCCAATGATCTCCCATGGCTTTGGATTCGTGATTGTTCAAACATGGATGCGCTTCCACAATTGCACCCTGTAGCCAGAAGCACACTACTTGAGTGCGCAACGCAAAACCTGCTGGCATTCAATCACAGGCGCTTTGACACATTACTCACAAAGCCTTGCGTGTGCCATTTAACAGGCATAGGCGCAGGACACGGGCAGCAATCCACCTCGCCCCAAAGATAAAGCAGGTGCCGGCCGCTCCTTGGGCGGAGACCGGAGCTTTCACGTTCGATTGACTCCATCCTTTGATGCATGAAACTAAGCTCCTGCGCCATGGATTGGTCACAGGTCACAGCTGTTGCATAACAAGGTTTGGAGGTTGGGGTTGCGATAAACTGAGGGACCAAACAATGATGCCGGATGCCAAGAGTCCTGTGGCTTCATTCGGAAAGCCAATCATTCCCCACATCACCAAACTGAATCAAGGTTCCTACAAGGACCTCCCTAAAGGCTCCAACTACATCAGAGCCCTGAGCGTGCCGCGGTTTTGAACTGATGAAAGAAAACTAACGCGGCACGTGGTTGCTCTCAACTTGGAGAAGGCCCAATGCCTTGTGGATTTCCGATGATGTGCGCTTCCTCTTCAACCACCAGGACGTGCCAAAGCTTGTGGCTTCTGATCACTTGGCATCATGGGTGCATGAAGGGTCTTCCACTGCCCACCTGCAAAATGGTAGCGCTTGTCAAACATCCGGCCAACAGCATGGAGAACACCTTGCAGTCTTAGGGCCCCACAGGCATGCTGACGTTGCATGCTGGCGTGTGTCTGTGTGTGTGTGTGTGCACAGCCCAGGCTGATCAATGATGCATCCGCTGGCTGATGTAGGAGGGAAGGCATGTTTGGGGGAGTATTGGGGTGGATGGGTGCAAGGGCCGCATGGACCTCCCCTGCTTCCGTGCGGTTTCCGGCTTCCGGTTCCCAACTTCCCGGCTTCCAAGGTGACGGTCGGCTCAAGGGTCTCACCCCGCTTCTGGTTTTGATGTTTCAGCCCTGAATCCGGCAAGCAAACAGGCAAGCAACCAGGCCGACGAACCTGGGTCCCCAACCAAGTCCCTGCCCCCCCACTGCCCCCAGCGCCATTGCCATTTGCAACTCCCAGCGGCTCTTCGCTCACAGCGCAGCAGCTGGCCATATGCCTTGCTGCGATGGCCGACACATCGTGGCGGAGCCTCGGTCAAGGTCCCGCACAGGATCTATTAGAGGGATTCAGTGGTAAAGGGCATCGCTAAGTCGAGGCAGAACCAAAACAGGCAAACCACACTTCTCCGGAGAAAAAGGGGACTTTTAAAGAACCGCTCATGTCAGGACCTCATGTTTTGGACACCTCAGGGGTTCAGTAGTCCTTGGTCCGGCCATGAGCCACAAGAAAGAGCTAGCAGCCCAATACGGCAAAGTCAAGCACACAAATCTCACTGATTCTAGCCATGAGCCTTCACCAACCTTCGACTAATTTCCCCCAGAAGAACTGGCTGACCAAGCTCCACTGAATTTCCTGAATTACATGCATGGAGCTCTGAATTTTCAGCGCCCTGAACCCCCTAGCGCCTGCCAGCGTGCCGGGAACGCAAGCACACCTAAGCAACTCATTCCTTGGATGGCGGCCAAATTCTGCGCTCAGGCGGCAGGCGCCCAACTTTTGTAGGAGCCGCCGGAGTGTCTGCAGGCCGGGCAGCTGGCGGCGTGCATGGCTCGATCTTCCTGCCCCACATCGAATGTTGGCCATGGGGACGGGGGGCGTGACCCAATCCGAATCTACAAGTCTGAGCTGGGGTCCTTGCTCTTGAATTTCTGTGGTTTACGCAATGCAACTCAAATGGCAAGGAGAAGCAAGAAGCAGTCCAAGCAACAAACAGCAAGAACTTCAACCAAACAAGCCATCAGCCGACAAAACAAAGAGGTGCATCCGATACCTAAAGAGACCCAAGCAAAGTGCCTCACTTTTTGTCCCCTCCTTTGCTTGGCTGGTGGCAGGTCCATGGGCAAAATCCGCTTGGCGCCACACAGCGGCTTCCCCCGCACCATGGGCGGCGTCTCCGGCGGCGGAAGCTCCCGCGGCGGTGGCCTCCACTGGCGCGAAGGCGCCGAATTGCGCGCCACGGGCGGCTCCGGCCTTGCGGGTACGGATTACTCGGGATGTTCCACTTCACAGCGGAAAAAACGAAGAAGGAAAAAGGACAAGGACAACGAGTCTTTTTCAGCCAGAATGATTCAAGCCAGAGGGATTCTAGGTTGGTTTGCTCCCGGTCGGCTAGCGTGGCCACCAAGAACTAGCCCCTTGCACGGGAAACTGAAGCTACCGCATAAACACAACCGCCAACGCAGAACAGCTTTCCAATGCTTAACCACTGGCCATGAACGAAGCTACAATTCTAATCTTCAGCTGGGTCACTTGCCAGGGCCGCTTCTCTGATCCTCTTTCTGAATCGGATCTTCTGGAAGCTTGAGCTCCAGCCCCCCCACAGGCCGCCAGCTCGGGGGCGCCGAAGGCCCCGGCGCGAAGGGCGGTCTCGAGACATCCTTCGTCGCCGCCCCGGCCGGGCAGACCGGGCCCATGGCCCGGCGAACGGGGAGTTCGCTGTTGCAGTTGAAGGCGAAGGGCCTGCGACGATGCGAAGGGAACGAGAGCGCTTTCCCGAAATCGAAACCTGTCTTAGCAACATTTCCCAAATGGACCCAACATCATAAAATGAACACCACCTTAAACATGAACGTGCCGTGTTGAACAAAGAGTGCCCCATTTGATCCCAAGGACTCAAGTAAAAACTAGCCGAATCAACAAATCAATTACATTGGACTTGTGCAATCAAAAAACCATTGCAATCTATATAAGTGAATCCAGCTTATCAATTTCTTTCCCAACCCCAGACCTGGGTGGCGGCAACGCGGCTGCCTCTTCGCTCTCTGCTTCGAGCCCCAGGAAGCGGAGGAAACGCAGGCGGCTCGGAGCTGCGGCAGGGTCCCCGTCTTCCGGCCAGGGACCGTTGGCGTAGAAGCGCCTGTGGCGCGCTGAATTTTTAAGCAAGCACTGAGAGTGACTCGATTCGTTCCCGCGAACTGGGCCTGGATTGTGGCAATGTGAATTGAGCCATGCTCAGACTGAACGGCTGAACGGCTGAATGCTTCCACCAAACAACTTCCCCGCCCTGTGTGGTGTGATTGTAACCATGGCTTCATCAAGTCCAAAATGGCGCCCTTCCAACCCGGCGGAGCCTGGGATCCAGGTCATAGGCCAGGCACACTTTTAGGTAGAGGATCACCTCCTCACCTGAGACAGCGGCGACCCCGAAACCCTCACACGGGGGCACTCTGGATGGACCATTTCTGAGCCAGGCAGGGGGTTATGCAACATGAAAAGCTCTGCAGAGTCAATTGCCTGCCTACTGAGGCCTTGGAGATCTGTATTTCCAACATTTATTGTAATGCAACGGTGCCAGGTGCCAAATGCACAAACTCAACTGCAACTCACAAGGAGAAAGGACAAATACCCACTCATTGCCAAATGGCCTTTGTATCTGGCAAGCAGTTCCGGCACCTTGTGCAGCTTGTACCTCAGGGCCAAGTCTTGGCCCGTCAATTGGCAAGGCAGTCTGCACATGAGGCTGCAACAATTGCCCAGGTCACATCACTACAAAAGCTGCAACCTGACCAAGCCATCAAAGGAAACAAACCTGAAGTTCCCACACAAGCCTTGCTGAAAGGTGCGCAAAGCAGCTTGCGCTCATTGTGCTAGCCAGACTATAAACTGGGCTAAGGGGATGGCTGGGAGCCACCAAGGTAAGAAAGGGGCCGTCATTGTCTTCTGAGCTGCTTTGGAGTCTCTAGGGCCCCGGCGGGTTCCGCTTCCGGTAGATGGCCTCCAGCTGCCAGCGCCAGAACTCCGCGCCCTCCGCACCTGTGGCCTCTGCCTGCGCCCGGTCCACCGCTGGAGCCGGAGGGTCTGGCGCTGAGTTCTGTGCGCTGAGGTTCAGGAGGCGCCAGAAGCGGTGCATGGCAAAGTGATGGGCACTGCGTTGTTTTTTCTTTGATTTTGTTTCTCCGTTGTTTGCCGCTTTGGTTGCGAAGTCACTGGCAGCACTGTCACCATCTCAACGAGATTTCGCCATGGATCGGTGTTGCTCATCCTTTATGAGGCCCTACATGTTTCATTCACACCCTGCTGGGGACAAGAGCTGGCAGGTTGTGTTGGTCAGCGACGAAGGCTGCGCTGCTTCCCTGCCCTCTCAACAAGCCCCTTGAGCAAGAGATCCGTTTTGTGTGTTGGGACATGGCGGGCAACTTTATCACCAAAGGAACAGAAGCACAAGACTCGAACTAGGCTTGACTTGAACCGCAACCAACAACACAGCTAATCGCTAACCCTTCCGTTGCTTGCCCTCAAAAATCCTTGCCACCTCCAGCTTGCCCAGCCCCGTCTTCAGATCGTCAGATCTTCAGCCAAAGCGCGGCAGCGCAGTAGGCAAGTGCTTGTCTGTTTCCGGCAGGCCCAGCGCCTCCCACGCGCCACACACGAAGACCTGCAAGAGGGCCGACACGCGGCACGTCGCCGATGGCACCGAGATTACAAATCTACACGTTGATGCCCCATTCTGTCCAACCATCATTACCTGTCTGGTGTGTGTGTGTGTGTGTCCAATTCCATTTTTATTGGGGAACGTACTGCTGAAACAAAAAAGCTGATAAATCCTGTATTTAAATCAAGGATGTCCATTAAAGGCTGTTCAGCTGATGCACCCAAGCGCTCATGGCTTGGGGCAAACGTCGCAGAAATCGGCCAAACAAAACAGGATTCCTTCAAATTAAATGAGCTGGCCAATCTCATTCGCAGAAGTCATGTTTAGTCAACTAACTCCTGGGTGTGCTTCGGTCGTTTTGCACTTTCGCAGCATCAGCCGGTCTGTACCCAAATGCACGCCCCGGTCTGCTGGTCCTTCCTGTGAGGACCTTCACGCAGGTCCAAACATCCGCTTGGCGGTTTGGCACCTTGAGCGTTTCAGTGCAGGGCTCGGGCCGATGGGCCTTGGCATCATGCCACTGTTACGCGAGCGTTGCTCAAGCCCCTGCTGAATTCGTCAAATGGCGTGATTGCGTGGGAGTGGAGCAATACAAGCACGCACGATTGCACGCCTTTTGCAAACTTCTGCATCTGCAATAAACAGCCCCACGTGAGCATTCAATGCCAAGCATTGCGAAGAGCCTATGTGTGCGCGCTCGCAGGCTTCCCATAATTCGGGAGCCTTTTGAAGCGAAAGCAACATTGCCGCAGTGGCAAGCACCACGTGGAAAAAGAACAAGAAGAAATGAACCGTGATGAAACATAACAAAGGAAGCACCCGGTTGAATGCCTGAATCAATGCTTCACAGCCGACTTAAACACCTCAGGAGGAGTCGGCTGTAGAGCTATCGGTGAAGTATGCTCAGCCTTCCTGTGCACGTCCGCGCCAATGGGGCACAGCGCTTCGAATGTCAGGAAAGTCCGAGACCATCGTCTCCAGGAACTGCATCAGGGCTTGTTGCTCAGCCTGTCCGAACACGTGGCCATGCTTCTCGCGAGGTGGTTGACATGTACTTGCCAATAAGTTGGCAACCATTCTACATCGTAGCCCAAAGGGGCCGCTTCTTCAATAACAAGGCCCAAGGCGTCGTGCATCGCTACGGGCAAGTAGCAACATTCCAGACTCATCCGTGCACCGCTCATGCCAGTTCATGCGTATGAACCGACAAACAGACACAGCATAGTTCAAGTCTGCCGGTGGCAGTCGACATGCTATTCTGTTCCATGTGGGTCTGCAAGCCCAGCAATACTCACAATGTGATCATCTACCCTGAGTATACCCACTCCGACAGTTTCAAGCAAATGAGGACTGGTCGGCTACAATAGTTTACTGCTACCAAGCAGTGCAACATGAGCAACGGGCAAAGCCGCCAAAGAAGCTTGCCCATCTATCAGACCCGCGGTGCCGGTTGAGGGTGGTCACACACACATGAAAAAACAAGTGCGCATTGTCAAACATCCTGATGCTTTGACAACTTCAACAACAAACATAGTGCAAACAGTTTGTTCGTTTAGTCACACCTGAATGTTGCTTCAAAATACCAGCACGTCATGACTGGTGTGTTGGCTTGTTTAATTCTACCAGGCCAACCACCCCGAGAGGGGCCTTTTTGCCGATCATGCCAAGGCAGTGCAGCACCCTGGAGATGCGGAGCCAGTTGTGGTTTCTGCCCATTCCAAACATTGAGGACCAACCTCGGCGTGCTTTCAGGGAAAGCTGCCCCAGAGGGTCCAAGCGCTCCACATGTGCAGTCTTGAGGGGAAATGTGAGGTAGCCGGGCAACCGATGTTGGGCTGCTTCACAAAAGCACCATCTTGGTGGGGGTTCTCCTACGGGCCTGCGGGGACCAAACATGCACACTCACCTATACCTTCCCGCAAAGGGTCTGTTAGTGGTGCATCGAAGCATGGCAGCAACCAGCAATGGACAAAAAGTCATTGACAGTTGCTTGCCCTGCAACGCTCCAACTAGCGAAGTGCAGCAAACCGCTAAAACCTGACTCCTGCGCTGTCGAAAGGCAGTCGGGCACTCGGGTGTCGAAGTGCTTCGCTCGGGAGACCTTGAACTTGCCGTCATTCTCGGCCATCTGCAATCCCAGAAAGGACAAAAACCTGCGGAACCGCTCAACAGCCAGGGCACTGGAAGCAAAGATTGGGGAAAGCAGGTCTAGCATCAGTTGCTTGTGGCATGTGGAGCTGCTTGCACAACACGTATAATAGCATCCAATCCTCCTTCACTATTGACGTCATGCTTCAATCACGCTCGATCCAATGCTTGCAAATATCACGGCTATGCAGCATGCCCCGCGGTGCCTTGCCAAAATATGGTCAAAGTTCTGCTGGATGACGGGGTCATTCCGGCAAATCTCTTGAACGGCTGGCGTCATCAAAGGCGCATCCATATTGAACATGGAGGCCTGGAACGGAGGAAGCCAAGTGGGAACTTAGGTTTTCCAGCCGCGACAAACGGACTTACAAAATCAGCTAGACCTTGTCGTCTTGCAGCACCACGAAAGGTCGAACATTCACATCCCGTAACTCATCAACAAACACATCCAAGCTCACAAAAGGAAGCTCAACATCACTACGTCGATTGAAAACACTTCGACTGACCAGACTGACAAGGTCTGTGATGAGCAATATGTTCCTTCTTGCGTCTTGAAGACTCTAGCATTTTCTAGTGTATTCCAGCGGGTCTGCGAAGGACGCTCCAAGTGTGAATGGGATAAGGCCGTCGAGAGTCGTCTCAGGAACAAGCAGGTGAAGGCCAAGAAGCAAGTGGAAAGCCACTTCAACCGAACAAGCCAGCATGTGGTTGCTCCAAGCAAGAATCCACTGACTGCAAAGTCACCTTCATGGAACAAATCCAGCTGCCTATGACTCTCCAACGCTTCTCAGGCTGTGCCTCAAAGCTGACTGAAGGGGCAACCGTGCACCTGGTGCATACCGGACAAATCCTTGAAACTGGCCTTTGTTTCAAATGATCCGGGCCTGCAACTGAGCCAGCATCAGACCCCTATCCCCTTCCTGTAGCTCCCCCTTGCTTGCGCCTCAGCTTTTCTGGCTGGGAATTTGTATCCCACGCCAGGGCTTTGCTTCAGGCTAGCGTTTTGCAGGGTGGGAGGGATTCAGTGCCGATGCAAGGCCGTTCAAATTGGCGTCAGAATGGTTACTTCTGATCTTTTGGTGTGGGCATAGGCTTGAACTAGGTGGGTAATGGGTGGGCTGGTGGTTTGTTTAGGGCTTGCTAGCTTTCGGGCCTCGTTGGCCTTGGGTCCGGCTGGCGCCCGCTTGCCCGCTTGCTAACTCAAAACAACAACTTACAGCAAACAAAAACTAAACAATCAAAAATACCCGACAATTCTGTTCAGTGGCAAAGCAGCTGGACCAATCAAACAACTGCACGTCACTGGCTCCTTGTGACATGAGCCCGGGCCGCGCCTCGTCAGTGGGGAAGATCCACTGCACATAGTTGTGCACCCGCTCCATGTCCATGTCGCCCCATCGCAGGATGTCCATCAGCATGCGATTCTGGCAAAGTAAACATGTGCCAAGGGGGACCTTTGGCCTTGGGCCTTTGGCCATGGTGATAGTAAGCACATGCCGCTCAATGTGCGCGGCACCACTACTCCCCCAATCAAGTGGCTCATGAGTCTGACATGTATGGACGGCTGCAAAGAAGTAAAGTTTGTCATGCCGGTGTTTGGAAGCAACCCTAAGTATGTCTGAGCATCTACGCAACTTGGCAACAGGCCGTGTAGAGATGTTGCAACGCAAAAGCCTTGCCTCGGAATCTGGACCTTCGCCACGCAAAAAGCCTCGCAGCATTCCGGCCGCACATGTGCAATCTGACTGTAGTTGTGAGGAAGCCACAGTGTCATTCATTCACTTCAACAAATTGAGGACCGTAAGAGGTCATGGCTTGAAACAGCTGCAACTGCAGGGTGCCACGAGATCTCCTGGCAGCTTGAAAGAAGCAACATCTACTTTCTAACAAGCTGTGCAAACGTGCACGTAATCAACCCAGAACAAATGCGGTGATTGGACCGGACCCAGCACGCACCAATTCCTGGCACGGTGCGGATAAGCACTTGGCCACCAGCATCGGGCGGACCTGAGCTCAGCATTTTGGGCTTGGACTCCTTGGCCGGCGGTGCTCCCGAAGTCCGCTTGGCGCAGTTGCCCATCGGAGGTGTGCGAATTGACCAACGGCGGTGGGTGCCTTGATTGATTGGCATGGCCGTGCCTGGCCTCGAGAACTCTTGTTTCAGTAGGGAAGCGAGCCGGCAAGATGTGCTTTTCTGACTGGAAAGCGAGACGTGCGATGCTGCTAAAGGTTGCCTCAAGCACGCTTGAGCCAACACGGCGAGGCACATTGCTGACAGGAACGATCACGCAAAACTATAGGTGTAAGTAGTAACGTGACAACTCGCAGCTTCGCACTTGTAAAGAATTGAGCTCGTTGTGTGCTCACCAAGTGTCTGATGAATCCAGGGTATCATTTGTTATCCAAATGCAGGCTGCCCCAAATTCCAAATATGGACAGGTCACTGCCAACACCAATTAGCGGCTGGCTTCCCCCAGACCCTGAAACACCGAGCTCGGGATCCTTCAAAAGGGTGGAAATTTGGCCAGCCAATCGCCAACGGCGGAAATGACTCAGACTGCAAAATCTCCTTGACTGGCATGTTCTCGTTGATCCCCAGCCTGTCTGCGAGAGCTGCTGGATCTGGCAGGTCGTGCCAGCAGAAGAGTATGCTCACCTGAAATGAGGCGAAAAAGACAGGTTTACCCTTTCAAGGACGCAGGCGGGCTGGGAGCAACATTTCAAGCTACGTAAGTAGTTTGAAGTGCGGCAGCGCAAGCACCAGCACCTTGCTAGCAGCTGCACGCTGTGAAACCACGTTCGACACTGCGCCCGTGCGACTCTCACCCAGCCGTCAAAAAGTCTATAAATGATCTCGTGCTGGCCAGCCAACTGGACAGCGCCTCTGTGGAATTTGCTGTGGCAAGCGAAGTTCAATGTCCAACCAAAAATTCAATGTTACATCATCGAAAACCTAAGGCTTCAAGCAACTGCAGCTACATAGACATCGCCAGGCAGCCAGCTCAAACAGGGCGCATGGCCAGCAACCAGCTAACCTTCTTAAGCCATCCAAATATCTTCAGCTGACCGAGAGACCGATCGACTGACCGACCGAGCTCGCCGAGCAACCATGAAACCAACCAAATGCCCAAACAGTCCATCGCAAGTCAACCAGTCGGCCAAGTGAAACGGAAAGCCTCAGAGGCGACGGCACGGCGCTTACCCGCCAAAGCACTGCCACAGGCGGCGCCCAGCACGAAGAAATCCTCCAGATCGAGGCCTTGGCTTAAAAGAAGCCTTGAGCGCAATGACTTGGACTTCACCAAACGGAGAAATCAAGAAAGGCCCCAAGTGAGTGGCAAGTAGCTCCGGCTACGTACAAGCACCAGCACTTGAAATATGCTCAGCTGGGCTTCAGCCAACGGAACGTGACAGACTGTCTTGAAAAATGAAGAGCGCCAGGATGTTCGGAGCATGCATTTGTAACCATTTGTAACTACTTCGAGCCACAAAGGAAACCCAATGCAAACGAAAGCTGTAACTTCAATGAGCCATTCACTTAGTGCCATCCACGCTGAATCTCGGTCCATTTTTCACGTGTCTGTCTGAGCTTCAGAAAATTGTGTGCAAAGGCAACATTCCAACGTTTTGATTTGAGTTGAACAAATCCTTTCCGGCAGATCCCCCCTATTAAAATAGACCCTCATGGCCCATGCTAGTAATTAGCACCTCGCCTCCACATATGTGGCTCATGTTATTAAACTAGCATGGCTGGACCCATGTTGTGTTTCAAGTTGTGCATTGTGCGTGTCGGAAATCCACAGCGATGCTGCGCCTCGTTCGTTTCGCTCCTTTCCACGCAGAACGGGCAGCTCTTGCACTGAGTCTGTGGCATCCTGCACATGCCCAGCACGAAAGAGCTGACATTGTTGATCAAGAAGTGTATGATGCTACTTATGGTCAAGGCTACGCTTCTCCCACATACACAAAACGTGGGTGTTGCTAAGTACTACTTGGCATAGGCAGGACGCCTGACAGCTGGGTGACAGGAGTCTCTGAAAAGTTGAACGGGCTTGTGAACTTCTTTGAACTCTTCTGACTTTGCCCAAGCCCTCGCTCCTGGCCAGGCAAGCCCAGCTGACCCCTGGCAGGCAAGTGCGCAGGGCCGCAAGGGCGTCACTCAAACGTCACGCGACAAGCGCAAAGGTTCAAGCTTCAAGTTTCCGCTGCTGCCACTGCTGCTCTGTCGCTTTTGACACTGCATACTGTATGTCTGAGTCAGTGTCACAAGTACTTGTTTGGGGTGTATTCATTCCGACCTTAGGACGCCCCGTGTCGTGTTCCAGGTGTTGCTCTCAGGTTTTGGGGTTTCGTTATTTTGGAAGTCCGGTTTTGTTTTTTGAGGAAAAACAAAACTACATGTGCATGAAACACCCCTGCATGAAGTAAATATTGGTAATTTTGAAGCTATTAACCCTAGTCCCTTTTATACTTTGGCTGGCATGTGTGTTGCCATCCTGTTGGTCGGTCGCCGTGCCCTTATGCTCGCTACTGTCTAGCATGGTTGATAGCTGGAACAGCTTGTTGGCAACAGTCGCACGGACAATGCTGCTGGAAACCTTGATGAAGAGGTGTTGCTCTTGCACCTTTCGATTGGGTTGCTGCTTTGCACATGCGATAAAGATAAAGCGGGCACAGAGACGCAAGCAAATGGATACACATAAGAAAACAAAGTCTCTGATTGCCAGCAGCGCCCCCACAAGCTCGGGCCGGCAACTGGCATTTGCATGTCGGTTCAAATGCGTCTCAAAGAGTTGACGCGCAATGCTGGATGTAGCATACATAATATATATGTATATATATATATATGGGTATGTGTTTTTTTGACGTGGCCATGCCGGGAGGTTGGTATAAGGGGTATGAATCGCAGGTATGGTTCGGGGTATGGCTCGGGGGTATGATTCGGGGTATGGCTCGCGCGCCTCTGAACTCTTGCTTTGTGGCCTTGGACACTGCAAAGCTCCCGTGCGCTGGCAACTGGATAGGCGTCACGAACCAGCGTAAGGGCAAGACAGCGTGACAGCCTCAAACGGCAGCCGCGCAGAGGCTAGTGGGTCTCTCACAGGTGGTGTACCGTGTCGCGCTTGATGCATCGCAGTAAGCCTTCCGAACCCACCTTCTGGCGAACCCTGCAGCGCTTCTCTTTGAGTTTTGTGTCTTCTGAGCATTTGGGCGGCATAGCTTCGCTAGTACTGCCCAGAGCGCAAGAGGCTCTTGGCTGCAAACGGCAGCATGAATCGGGTATGAATCGGGGGTATGAATCGGGGGACAGATTTTGTTCGACCGGAAAGGCACCAAGAGTACCCCAGGAGCACAAAGACAGCTTGTGTTTCACTGCGACAGTGGCCCAGGACAGACAGCTGTTTCCACCGCGTCGGACAGACTGCAGGATTTCAAGCTCAGCAGCGCACCCCCCGCCACAGCGCCACGGATGCTACGGACAACTCTAGTACCAGGACATCCGCAGGATTGCTCTATAACTCCATCCATTGGCACTTTCCATTGAAAATAGCAAGCCGAGACCGAGGTGGGTAACCGAGTGTCAAGGAACACCACTTGAGCCAAAATGGCCCTTCGCGAGTAACCAAGTGAGTGTGTGAGTGAGCCCAACCATGCAAGCATCGCAGACTCAAGAATAGATCCAGGAACCACAAGTGAACCAGGTATTACCTCGGAGTCCCTACACATGTCAAGCTCTCTAACACTGTTTCTTGACAAGACCCCCTTCTTCACTTGAAGTTAAACCCCCTATAGCCTCCAGCTATCCATGGGTCACATGCAAATGCCACAGTTCTTGCAAGTTTTTTTGTGTTTTTTAAGGGGTATGACTCGGGGTATGGCTCAGGGGTATGGTTCGGGGTATGATTCGGGGGTATGGCTCGCCCAAGCCCCACCTCCCACGAAGACTAAGAACTGACACGGTAAAAAAACACAGACCCACATATCCGCCGACGTTGCTCGGCGTGTCGGACACCTAAGAGAGGATAGAGGATAACCCCCCCCCTAACCCCCCCCCCACCCGACGTCTGATACGTGGGGGGGGGGGGGCCCCCCCCCCCCAAGGACCGCGCGGCAATTTGATGACGTTCCACTAAACGTAGTCTTCGGGGACCCGGTGTCGCAAAACAGGGGTCCCAGGCTCGATTCCCCCTGCCGGCTTTTTTGCTGGCTTGGGCTTCCTGCATCCTTTTGCCGAAAATCTGGAAAAACTCTGTGTTTTTGGACATGATCTTTGCGAAAACGCTGGAAAAACAGTGTTTTTTGCGGGAAATACTGGGGAGCAAAGGGGAAGTGCAAGGATACATACATACATACAGACATACATACAGACAGACATACAAACATACATACATACATTACATTACACAACATCACATTACATTACTTTAAATTACATCGCATTACATACATACATACATACATACATACATACATACATACATACATACATACATACATACATACATACATTACATACATTACATACATTACATACATACATACATTACATACATTACATTACATACATACATACATACATACATACATACATACATACATACATACATACATACATACATACATACATACATACATACATACATACATACATACATACATACATACATACATACATTACATACATACATTACATACATACATTACATTACATACATACATACATACATACATTACATTACATTACATTACATTACATTACATTACATTACATTACATT